TTCCCCATAGCGACCCCTAGAGGACGCAGTTCGAAGTTCCCTTGAAAGGGAACGTCTCAGGTTAGTTATGTAACCATGGTTCTCTGAGTAGGGAATGAGACACTGCGTCATCTAGGCTTCCTGCCATGCTTCGAACGCAAGCTTCAGACGAAGAAGTGAATGACATGTTCTCCCGGCGCCTATTTATACTAATAGTTGCACCGGTAGTGACGTCATGGGCTTTCGCCGGCCAACGTGTTGTTGGTGTTTTTTCAATGTATGCTTCAGACACGGGTCACGACGAGACGTTCCCCATAGCGACCCCTAGAGGACGCAGTGTCTCGTTCCCTACTCAGGGAACCATGGTTACATAAGTAACCTGAGATGTTTTATGGGAGCAGAGAAGAGTGAATTATAGGGCTAATTTTGAACTTATCCTTTTCCTTTTTCTACTGCTACTAAATTTAACTGATATTTAAGCTGTTTTCTCACTGAGCATTAAAGGCATCTTTTATTGGAATTGCACCTCTCATGATAAGCTAACATCTCAAAAGTTGTGGGTTGAGTATTTCTTACCATTTGATATACAGTATAGTGGAAACAGTTCTAAATTGGCATTATATTTCTATTTTGCTCTTTTTTTTGTGATTTGTAAATGAACATAGAGTACTAAACTAAAGTTTTGCAGTGATGCGTTTCCAGTGCATCATTGGTAATCTGAGCTAGTTTCCTCAAGATCTCTGTATTTAAATAGATTGTTTTGCACAAGGGTTTGCAAAAGTGTTGTTTTGTCATGCTGCCAAAACTTTTGCTGCAATGCACCCTGGCGTAGACATCCGCTGACCAATCAGAATTTCACACAGGTCTAGTTTTGCTGTGTGTTTTTGTTTTTTGCCAGAGCCTGAAAGTATTTACACTAAGTATAAACGGTAAGCATAAATAGTGTTATGATACATTTATATTTACACAGTTAACAGCTCAGTGTATTGAAGTACATTATAGAAGAGAAATAATAACATATTCAGTGTATGTTTATTAAAATCATAAATGGATGCTGCCTTACTGGGACCTTACTTGTCGCTATCCCTAAAGCCTAATCCCTACACCTAACCCTACTTAACCATAACCATACTGAACTTGCTGATCAGTAAAGGTGTTCTTGAAGGTCCAGGAAGGGAGCCACGGTTTTGAGATTGGTAACAATATGAGCTACACTTGTTGTAGTCGATGTGCCAGCCCGTCCGAGGACACCACATTCAGTTTCAATTATAGGCATTTTAAATACCCATTAAACACTTTATTTCCATTATGTACTCATATTAAACACCATTGGTACCGAGACTCGAATCCACGAGCTTTTGGTTACTTTTGGTTAAGTCTGACTCTCTAACCATGCTACCTAAACTGCCTTTGCTAACAATACAGATTATTTGCATTTTGTGGAAATAGACACTTGGAATTTCTGTCCACATTTTCCTATTCAAAATGGATCGGTTAAATTAAACTTAAGTACCCTTACAAAGGGTACACTGACTGCAGCCTTGTGCACTTATGTTGATACACAAGCACAATGCTAAAAATGTGTTTGTATTTGTTTGTCATGCTGCAAAAGCATTCTGAGTGAAAAATGCCTCCCCCTGATGAGTGCCACCACAACCCAAATGAAGATGATGTGAATTCTCCTACCAGTCCATTGAACCTCCTGGATCAGAACTACCAGGAGCTGCACCAGAACTCTCTCACTGAAAACACACTATACAATGATGAGTTGTTCCCTCCAGACAACAGCTCCATTGGCTTGTTTGATGATCTGCCGCCTGAGGTGGACATGTCTCAAGTTGTGTGGAAGCGGCCATCCGTATGTAAACATTACAGAATTCTTTGTCTATAAATATTCTAACCTTCTGCCATAATGGCTTTCATAGCTTTGCATGGAATTATGAATTACAAATCTCTTCTTCGTATGTGTCCATGTTTTGCTACTGAAGGAATTGCACTTGATTTTCTCTTATCAGGAATTGGTGTCAGACCCTAATTTAATTGTAGATGATGTTTCAAGGTTTGACTATGCACAGGGAAATGTATTAGGTAAGTTTGAGTAGATTCTGGTGTCATACCATAGGTGCTATGTCTACTTTACAATGTGTTGTGGGCCAATTTTTGTTCTCAACCCAGATATCAACTCTTGTCTCTTCTTAACAATTCAAATAAATGGCATCATGCCCCATATGATGGGAAACTAGTAATAATATACACCATTATTTTGACACATTTTGTACATATTTCAGATGTGACTTCAGATATGTAATATTTTATTTATTTAGGAAACTGTTGGTTCTTGGCTGCAATTGGAGCTCTAACTTTTGAGAAGGATATCATAAAACAGGTCATGCCAGCTGAACAGTCATTCACCAAGGATTATGCTGGGATATTTCACTTCAGGGTGACTATAATAGCTGTTCAATATTTCAATATTTATTTAGAAGTTTCTCACATTATAATTTCTTCAACACAAGAAAGTCATATTTTCCATGTTTGTAATTTATCACAGTTCTGGCGATTTGGGAAATGGATTGATGTTGTTATTGATGACCAACTTCCAACTATTGATGATGAACTACTTTTTGTGTGTTCAAAAACGTCCAATGAGTTTTGGCCTGCTTTACTGGAGAAAGCATATGCAAAGTTGGTGCCATTATTTTGAGAAAAAAGTGTCCTGTTCATTATGTATTATTTGAATAACTGAAATTTAAATTGGCTTACAAGTATGCTGAGGAGTGAACTCAAATAAACTGTCTTTACAGGGTGTGCGGGTCCTATGCTGACTTGCACGCCGGTTTCATATCAGAGGCCCTGATGGACTTCACTGGTGGGACGCATATGTATTATACACTGAATACAGCTCCTGCTGATTTGTGGAAAATCATGGAATGTGCATTCAAGTCGAAAACCCTTATGGGCTGCGGCTCTAATACAGTGGTAAGAAAGACTTTACCAAATCCTGGATCCAAAGCTCCAAAGCATTGTCATATATTTGTTAGGTCTTTCCAAAAGGCAGAATGTCAATTGATCATCGTTAAAAAAAAGCACATAACAAAAAAATAATTTGATCTGATCTTTTACTATGTCACAACAACAGTCAAACTCAGTCTGCTTAAAACAAATTACAAATCAGAGCCATAGCCTCGTTTGCAGTCCTCTAACATGTAACACAATAGATTGAGTCCTCACTCCTGTACTATAGCTTCCTGTCCTTCCTTGACTGTACTGTCAAAAAAGGCAAAAGCAGGCTGTATTTGTGCATTGTTATGATTTAGGTTGATGATCAGAAGTCAAGAATGTCAAATAATATAAAAGTTTTCTTTTAATAATTGTATACTGTACATGGCCTGCTATGTACTAATATGAAATATTTACACTTATTTTTTGTATTTAACATTAGACAACCCCTGAAGAAAATGAGTTACTTCATGGCATAATTACGGAGCATGCTTACACTGTGACAGGGGTTTTTGAGGTAAGACCACACAAGCATCTGGCCGTTTCAGTTAGTCTCAAATTATAACTTTTGTTAATAGGATACTTCCACAGTGGAATTGAGATTTAGGTAAATTTTTTACCTTAATGATGGCACTAGTAAAGGCATCCGTCAGTTTCAGGAGACCATCGATCATATCGGATGAAGATCTCTGGTACAGCTTCGGTTGTGATTCAAAAATCCAATTTGGGAATGGCAGTCTCTGCCACAAAACCTGCAGATGAACTCTAAATCTTGTTGGATAGGCTGGGTCCTGGCCTTCCTCCGTAGCCGCTTAGTTTGAGACTGCTATTTGAGAGTCTCCACAAAGTTAGAGAGGCCTTTTTACACAATCTATCTCCACTTGTAGTCTGTCTGAGGCAGCAGCTTCCCAAGAGTTTGGTTTGATTCCGAGGGCCTTGAGATGTCATTGACAAGTCTTTGTACCTCACGTGAGGTCTACCTGTTGGTCGCGTTTCATGTGACAGCTTGTCATACAGGAGATCTTTCTGAATGCACCCATCACCCATTTGGACAACATGACCCAGCCATCACATGCATCTCTACTTAAGAAGGGTGAACATTAATGAGATCCTTGCTCTCTCAAGGACAGTGCAGTTGGGGATCTTGTCCTTACAGGATGTCCAGGATGTGACGGAGGCAACTCAAGTGGAAGGTGAGTCTACTTTCTTGTTGAGCATGCCGGGTCCATGACTCACTACCGTAGAGAAGCATGCTCACCACACCAGCCTTGTAGACCTGCACTTTGGGGCGCTCTGTCAGCTTGCCATTGGTGCACACTCACTTTGTCAGTCTGGACAGGGTTGTGATAGCTTTCCTGATGCGACTGTTTAGCTCAGTGTCACGAGAGAGCAAGTCAGAAATAGAGGATCCCAGGTACACAAAGTTGTGTACAACCTCAAGTTTGTTGTCAGAGATTGAGATGCTGGTGTCTTGTACCATGACTTGTGTCTTCTTTAGGCTGATGGCTTTAGGTTTTGTCATTTTTGGCCTTAAACACCCCTTCATTTCTGGCCTTGAATTGAGGGCACAACATGTTTATGTACTCATTTTGTGTTGAAAATAAAATGAAGGAAAGTTGAAAAACTATATTAGTAAGCACAACAGCGGTTCATTGGGAAAACATTCCTGTGGTGACATTTCTGCAATTCTATTATGTTGCTTCTTAAGTTTCGCTTTCAAAGTGAAATGTTCATTAAGTGGCACTAAAAGCGTGTTAATTTTTTATCCAAACCTGGCAACATTTTATTATGTTGGTTTTTACATGTCGTGGCAGTTTAGAAATGAAATGTCTGGTGAGAGGCGATAAAATGTTAATCACATTTGAAAATAACTTAAATAACCTCCTACACTAAAGCCTGCCCTAAACCTAACTGATAGTGTTAATAAAAGTAAAAATGCATTAGCTGAAGCAACTGTGGCATTTTAGCTTGCTTTTACAAGTCTTTGAGCTCTTCATAGTGATTTTTCTGCTTTGCATCGTGGGTGCAATGTGTGAATTGTATGAATGTGAGCAATTTGTTCTTGACTTAACGAGGCAATTTGGAGGAACACAGGTGAACAGAATGACTAATTAAGAGACAACGAGGACAGGAACAGGAACCTCCAAATAAGGGCACATGAGGGAGAAACTGGGTCATGGGGAGCAAAACACAAATACAGTCCAATCCTGACATTTCGCCCCCCTCCCGGAAGGCGCGTCCTCGCACCGTAGAACCAATAGAGGGAGGGACGCGTGGGAACTGGGAGGAGGCTCAGGAGGAGGACGGACACCCGGGAGGGAGCCGGCAGACAGAGTCCAGGGAGGTGACGATGGAGGGAGGAGCCAAGGAGGAAACAGGAGGAGCCAGGGTGGATCAGACAGAGGAAGGAGCCAGGGAGATGACAGGAGGGACTTGGAGCATGCGGCGCCAGGTGGGACCCAGGCCACAGCCATAATGGTGACCCACGGTGGAGCCGACAGAGGGAGGAGCCATGGAGGAGGAAGAGCTGACAACTCCAGGGGGCCAACCGACTGCAGTGGCAGAGCCCGAGGCGGAGACGGAGAGCCGATGGGCAAGGGTGACGAGGAGGATCCGGAGGGCCAAGGCGGAGCACATGGCGCCGGCGACCGAGGCGGAGGCGGGGATCCAGAAGGCCGCGGTGGAGCCGGAGCGACAGAGGACTGAGCAGGAGCCGAAGGGATGGAGGAGCCTGACGGAGCCAAAGGGACAAGGCGCAGCCGGATGAGTGGAGTCCCGAGCTGCAGGATTGTTGACGCCAGACCAAGGCGGAGCCGGAGGGACGAGGGAGCCCGGCGGGGCCAGTGGTCTGCCGGGCCACGGCGGAGAGGAGGGAGCTAGGAGCCATGGTGGAGCCGACGGGTCGACGGGCCAAGGCAGAGTCCAGGATTCAGAGGCTGGAGGCAGAGGCAAGGGATGCTCCAGCCCCGGTGACGATGGAGACTGGCAGACCCGCGGTGAGCCCACCGCACAGATGGTGGGCTGAGGGTGAGCAGAGGGGCTGCCAGATGACATCGGAGGAAGAGTCAGGAGTGGGCAGGAGGGCGGGCATTTGTGAGCCTCTGTGCTCTCGGGGCTGCCCTTGGGAACAGAAACCCTCTCTTGACAGGACTTAGGAACAGAGTCTCTCTTTGGGCTGGACTTGGAAACAGGAACCCTCTTTGGGCTGGACGTGGGAACAGGGGTGACAGAGGGCTCTGAAGAAGGAGGGAGGAGAGGGGGCAGATCGGTAAACAAGTCTATCAGGTCTCCTTCCACTCGCCATTTTCCCAGCTCCATCAATAGCTCACCCTCAGCCTTGTTGCTGTTGGGCGGAGCTCCTCTCCACGATCTCACTGGCCACAGCTTTCTCCCTAGTGGTGGGCGTGGTAGCCAGCTCTCGGACCTAGACTGACGTCACTTGCAGCTCCGGCTCTGCGCGATCCGGCGCTCTGTCGCTCCGTGTGGCGATGGATCATCGGTCCCGGCAGGCTCAGGCTCTCCGTCAACGGTGGGCTCGTGCTCCGCACAGCGGGGAGATGGTGGGCTGGGCTCTGGGTCCGGAGTGGATCTGGCGAAATCATCCTCGGGAGAGACGGTGAGAGGCGATCCATTTCTCACCAGAATCCACTCCACAAAGTGGCGAAATCTGCTCGAGGACCATCTTCGGACGACGGCGCTCTGCGTCATCTGGGTAGCAGGTGGTATTAGCAAGGACCAGGAACAGTCTTGTATGATCCTCGAGCGATCTTTGCCCCTGCTCCAGCAGGAGGAGGAGGTATTCCGGGCGGGCGAGGGGATCCATGGGGAAACACACAACGGAAACAAAAAACACTAAATAAACACGGAAAACAAACAGAATTAACCGTTCTAGGTCAGGTCTTCTGTCATGTAACGTAATGCTGCCGGAAGGAACGATGGAGACGTAGAATAGCAAACACAGTCTTTTATTAAATCCAAACAGGGGTAAATCCACACCAGGAAGGGAAGATGACACACGTTCACAACATGTAGACCCAACAAAGAAGGAACGCACAGACTGGAACTAAATACATGACTTAACGAGGCAATTTGGAGGAACACAGGTGAACAGAATGACTAATTAAGAGACAACGAGGACAGGAACAGGAACGACCAAATAAGGGAGAAAACAAAGACCAACAGAGGGAGGGACGGGTGGGAACTGGGAGGAGACTCAGGAGGAGGACAGACACCCGGGAGGTGTCCTGGGAGGTGACAACGGAGAGTCATCAATATTCATAGTGTACAATTTTATTAAAAAGCCAAACTAAGAAACAAGCTAGAGCAGAGGTAAATTGCAAAGAAAAAGAGGATTTTGTGTGTTTCTCGGTTTAAGGTTGAGGGTTTTGTAGATAGAGGCATGTTTTTTAATGTGCATTTTTGTGTCTTTCTCCTTTTTTTAAAGTGTCTTTCTCCTTTTTTTTAAATTTAATACTCTTTTTACTTTTAATCTCTTAAACTGACATTGATTCCTGGGTTTGTACAACAGGTGATGAGTGACGAAAATCCAGTCCAGCTAGTGAGACTGTTAAACCCATGGGGCGAAGAAGAGTGGCGAGGAGATTGGAGTGATGGGTAATGGTTAACAGCTTCATTTAGCCAGTATCATTCACAAACTCAGCAGAAAGTCGTACATTGTCGTACATTGCTTGAACACATCATGACATATCATCTCACATGCTAAAAGTTCTTAAGCACCCATGGTTTGTTTATTAATTTTACAGATCACCTTTGTGGGACACAGTTTGTGAGGAAGTCCGCAAAATTTGCCATGACGTTTTAAATAACGGGGAGTTCTGGTGAGCATGACCATGTTGGGTACTCCCACCCTCTCACACTTGATGTGAGAAATGACTACTTCATATGCAAAGTATGAAACCGCATTTTACTTAGAAACATATTTTAACTGCAGGATGTCAATGGAAGACTTTACCAAAATTTTTGAAAACATAGACATATGTTGTCTCTGTCCTGATTTTCTGGATGGTTCTGCTGAATGTCACTGGACGTCAAAACGACATTTTGGCAGATGGAATGCTGGGACTACAGCAGGTGGTGACATAGTTAAGACAGGTATTATTACTGTATTCATATGTCTATATTTGCACATAAAGTCCTAGTATCAATCAGCATAACAAAATGATAATAAAAGTATATAGACAAGGCTTGTGTAAGTAAGAGATATAACTTGGAATGAATGCATAAAAAATTCAATAATGTACAAATCTTCTTTTAATATGTTATAGAGACTTTCTGGACAAACTCTCAGTTTCGGGTGAAAATTGATGAGCTTAATGAAGAATGTGCTAGTGGCCAGCGCCCTGAAAATATACTGGTGTCCCTCATGCAGAACCATGAGAAGAGACACAGAAATAGCCAAGATAATTTTAATATTGGCTTCTATGTTTTTGAGGTCAGTGTTTGCATATATTATGCATGTTTACATATGTAAATATGCCAAGTAATGTATAGTATTTACATATGTTTGAATCTGATATAGTTTAAAGTTTCTTTATAAATTGAAGGTGCTTTCATTTACATATATTGTTCTTTTTATTATTCTTTTAAATGCATTTAATAGAGGCTTTTTATCAAAAGTGACTTATGGTACACTTGAGAAACATGAGCAAGTAGTCACAGAGTCATCAATATAGTGTACATTGCTATGTTTATTAGAAAGCCAGATGGTGAAATGTAAAGAAAAAGAGGATTTTGTGTGTGCCATGCTTTGAGGTTGTGGAGTGGTTACGTTCTTATAAGAAGTGCCTTCAGCTGCTTTTTGAAAGTTGTGATGGCCTCAGCGCTTTCATTGACATGTTTTATGAATAAACTGCAATATCCCTGTAATGATAGTTGTTTTACCTTTTTTTCTCTTGAACTTTCACAGATACCAATTGAGGCAAGTAAAAATTAACCTAAATGTTATACTCTTATGGTCCTTTCAAGAAGAGATTTTTTTTATGTATTCATTCTTTTAAATAGACTAAAGACATGTTTTATAATTATTTTTCAGATGAGAAGTGAAAGTGGGAGGTTTTCATCTGAATTCTTCATTGACAGAGAGCCTGTGGCACAGACTGATGAGTTAGTATGGTTCAGAGAGGTGATGAAATTCTTCAGGCTGGAGCCGGGAGAGTATCTGATTGTACCGTGCACAGAGAATCTTGGTGAAACGGCCTCCTTCGTCCTGTCTGTTTTCTCAAAGAATGAGACACACTTAGAGTAAGTTGTGAAGCAGTCTAAAGCATTGCCCAGGTCCCTAAATACTCTGTGCTTAAGGCATATAGTATAGAGTAACCTGAAATTACAGCTCTGTGATCTATTTTTTTTTCTTTTTCCAACAGACATATTCAAGAAACTCCTGAGTAGAATGGAGACATTCTTGATGAGGGTGTGGCATACCCTTTGTTACTTGTCACATGAATAGGAATCAGTATGTTCTGCTTTTACTTTTTGTACTTTAATTTTTCCTTGTCAATAGTTAAAAAAAATAATATCCAGAAATGTATTTGTTTTTATTCATTATTCTGTTCTATTTGAGAGTTTTACCTTTATTTGTACCTTTAACTGTTTTTGGGTTGTAAAGCAAATGTGTCATCTTTTGGGAGGGTGACTACAGTATTGCTAGTTTTAATTAATTAACTGGTTTGTATTCAGAATTGATCAGTTATGTTAGATGGCATACATTATTAGATGCCATACAAGATGGAAAAAAAATATTTTATTTTTTCTACTAAATATTGTAATCCTGTCAGATTATCTCTTGAAGTGAAAAGCTGTAAAAACAGATGAATGAAAGTGTGGCATTATATCAATTCTTTGCATTAATTCCAAATAATTTATACTGCTGCAGACAGCGCAAATAAAGCTCCCATATATGCATGAAAAGCTCCCATATATTTCTTTAATATTGTTCTTCAAAGAAACAGGATATTGCTGGCACAAGAATAATCAGTAAGCTTTTAACAATTAATTGGCAGCTTCTTTCTGGACGTGGTGACAGAATTCTAATTGAATGAATCCAAATAAGCAAAAAATATAAAGCTAAGACCTCGATCTAGCATCCAGATTTTCTTAGAGTGACACAACAAGGCAAATGTATTGTAAGTATTGGCCATCTGTTTAGGGAAGCCACATGAATTCAGAGGATCATATGTCTGTTTTAAAAATGTGTCAATGAAGCTTAAGAGTTTCTTAAGATCAACCAGTAGCACATGGCGCTCACAATTTTAATGTTATGGGTTTGATTCAGGGAATGCATGAATTTATGAAATGTATACCTAGATTGCAATACAAGTCACTTTGGATTAAAGTGTCTTTCAAATATGCAACCTAAAGTTGAGTGTTGGTTTTGTTGTAATTTTTGTCCATAGTAAATTACGATTAACAAAGTCTCGCATCTACTGTAAATTGTCCTGTCTATGCAATGACACACATTTAAACCAAATTTAAAGATGTTAGTGCCTAAACTGTTTTCAGAACATTGAAAATAAAAATTCTGTATATTAAAGCTTGTTGCTGAAGCAAGGCCAGCTTATACATATTTTGGTGATACGCCAAAAAGAATGTTAGCTGGCTTAAACAGCTATTTGACCTACTCCCTTTCAATATCTGGGGAATATGTATCTATTTTTAAAAGCTAACAACTAGCTCTTATTGCTCTCAATATTTTCCTGACTGATCTTGTGTGTGGAAGAGCATTTTCCTATTTATTTTTTTTTTTCAACCACTCCTCTTGCTACATTCACTGCTCCATCACTGTTTCCATCTGAAATGAACACTAGTGGCAAAAAATTAAGAAAAGAATATTTCAGAAATTTGAGCTACAGTAGCTATTCTGTGTGATTGGACCAGATGGACTAGTCTTCGCTTCCCACATGCATCAATGAGACTTGGGTGCCCATAACCCTAATGCCGATTCACCAGTTGTCCTTCCTTGCACCACTTTTGGTAGGTAGCAACCACTGCATACCGGGAACACACCACAAGCCGTTTTGGAGATGCTCTGGCCCAGTCGTCTAGCCAGCACTATTTGGCCCTTATCAAAGTCACTTAGACCTTTTTGTTTGCCCATTTTTCCTGCTTCCAACACATGAAATTCAAAACTGGTCACTTGCTTCCTAATATATCCCACTCTTTGACAGGTGCCATTGTAATGATATAGTCAATGCTATTCACTTCAATGTACAAAACTGTTAAAGGAGTCATATGACGTTGTTAAAAAGAACATTATTTTGTGTATTTGGTGTAATGAAATGTGTTTATGTGGTTTAAGGTTAAAAAAACACATTATTTTCCAC